TATATTAAATAAATACAAGTTGACAGACACAATTTATACAGTATATATGTATATGTATAATCAATCAGGTTGTTGGATAATGAATAAATGGTATTGTACGCCATAATTCGAACACATACACACACACACACCAACAGACATACATATACATACACAAGATTAACCATTTATGACACTTGGATATTATAAGAAAGAAACTATAATATTTCGAAAAAGAATTAATATATATATATACATACTAAATACTTGAATATATACTAGTTATGAGACCCTGTTCATAATTTCTATAATGTCAATATATTTAGAATCAATAAATATGTACAATCTTTAAAAGTAGATAGGAATTCTTTTATAAGATTCAAACTTAGATTTCAGACTTTATATTTAGAAAATTGGCTAGTGATATGATTGCTATAGAAAAGATAACTAATAAATAAGTAGAAAGGTTTTTTGGTGGAGATTTTAGTAATTTTATATCGTTAAAATCATGAGTCAATTGAAGATAGACCACTATAGAAAACCTGGAAGCACTGGACGGTCGTTTTTCCCTGTTGTGGGACACTTAAGCAGTTCGCATCTACGATCCCGCCTCACGATATTCAAACCCAGGACCTATTAGTCTCACGCGCGAGTGCTTAACCACTAGACCACTTAGCCAGCATCTCGCGAAGCGAGATTGTGAATGCGCACTGCCGAGGAGTCTCACAATAGGACGAAACGGCCGTCCAGTGCTTTAAGGTTTAACATGGTGATCTAACTTTAATTGACTCATGAACTCAACTATATAATATTACTGAAATCTCCACAAACCCCCCTGCTGATTTAATTAATGATTAATAAAACTGGAAAAGAAATACTTTACTTAAGATGGTTGAGAATATTTATGGCTTAGAATAAGAATATTGAAGATATTATGGTCCCTGAGAGAGAGAGAAGTCTTTTCTCTTTGAAATATATACTGATGATATTTTACAGAAGGATAATGAAAGTTTCATAACTAAATCATTTAACATAGGTGGTCATAATACTTTTCTTCCATTGTATATCACAATATGATCAGAAGGGGTTTTGTGAAGATTTTAGTATTTTCATAGTTGATTTCATCAGTCAATTGAAGTTAAACCACCATGGAAAACCTGGAACCACTGGACGGTGGTTTCGTCCTATTATGGGATACTAAATTGTAAAACATATTTCTTTTATTCACTTGAGTGGGTAGTTTAAAAAATATTGGGAAGATTATTGTCTCCTTTGAACATGGGTATAGAAATTTATTCAAGAGATAATATATATTTCCTATTTTTGTTTTACCTTAATAAATTAAATCTTAACTTAAAATATTTGACAATTATGACAAGTTTACATAGGTGAAATAGATAAGTTTCTCTTTCTCTATCGTCTTATACTTTCATCCTTGTTTTGTCTTCCTTTCACTTCACTAATGTATACTCAGTAAATATTAACATATTGTTACAAATAACCATTAGCAATAATGATATGAGTTTTATCCTACTCACTGTCTGTTACTATGACAAATTTGAATGAGATAGATATATTTATGTGAGCAGTTTTAGTCTATATGTTTAAATACATGTGTATAAGATTAGTTTTCATTGATATGAAATGGTTTCCCCTTAACGATTTGTTAAATATTCAACTATATGTATATCTCTATGGAAGGGGAAAGATTATTTACTTTTTTGTAGTGCTATTTTTAGTTTTGGGATTTATGACTAGTCGTGTAGTGAACATTATTATTAGCAGTTGTTTACGCAAGATACATCGGATCCGTTGGCCAGAAACTATCAGCAACAATTTACTGTGAGACACAACAAACCAGATTCCAATAGAGGAAGAAATCAGGAAAAAGCGCTGGAAGTGGATTGGACACACATTGAGGAAATCATCCAACTGAGTCACAAGGCAAGCCCTCATATGGAATCCTGAAGTCCAAATGAGAAGAGAATGACCAAAGAACACATTACTCCGAGAAATGGAGACAGACATGAGAAGAATGAACAAAAATTGGATAGAACTAGAAAGGAAGGCCCAGGACAGAGTGAGTTGGAGAATGCTAGTCAGCGGCCTATGATCCATTGGGAGTAACAGGCGTAAGTAAGTAGTGAAGATAAACACCAGTATGGACAATCGAATATATTCGATCTCGAAATTACAGAATATCTTATTTGAATCTGAGAACCAAACAGTAAATACCTAATTTGTAAAATATTAATCATGTTTGACTGTTCTTTTGCAAATATCAATCAATCGTCTTAGATTTCACTATTCCTTCATCTTCTGACCAACTGATTTTCTTTTGTGTTCTTTCCTTCTCGATCTTCTTAATCTTCTGCTACCAGATATTTTATTCCTGGCTCATGATATATACTTCTTATGTTGACATAAGTAGTACATGCCACGGTAGTAATGAAAATCTATACTTGTACATAAATATACATACATGCATTCGTGTATTCAACTGAAATATTAACTCGTATGAATTAAATTAAGTTGACAAATTTATGTCAATTACCTAATTATTAATTAATGAACTAGTCTACACAGCATCCTTTCAACTAAATTAAAACAGTTAACTATTTAATGATTTATTTCAAGATTTCCCTGAAGTTCTAGTGACAACTCGTGGAGTTTAGAGATGCCGAGAATAAAACAGTTAGAACCAAGTGGATTAGATGATAATGGTGTTATATTTTAAATCTATTGAAATTACACACTGACTCAGTAATTCTACTGGTTAAGAGTTCTCCATGAGATCAGAAGGTTTTGAGTTCGATCACATTGACATGATAGTGGATACATATTGCTGGTAAAACTTATACTAGGACAAAGTAGCTATCTATTTCTCCGTAGTTTTCATTAATATCACAACTGAAATCAATCTATCATGAATACAGTCTACTGATAAACCAATAACTGAACTTTTTCTAAAGAATATAAATATTCTTGTAGTGAACGAGAACATAAGTGGGAAAAACCAAATGTATTTAAACACAATATTACAGAGTTCTTTGGTAAATGTGAAAACCATATGTTCAATACTTCATTTACAAATTGTCCATCAATTGTCTCAAACTTCATTATTTCTTCATTTCCATAACAATTACTCTCTATTCCCGTTCTCTTAGACTTGATCTTTTTAACCTTCTGCTACTAAGCGTACCATTTTTGACTGGTGTTATACATTACTTATGTCGACGTAAGTAGTATACACCACATTCTGATTGAACACTTTTAAGAAATCAAGTGTAACAAATTAATTTGTTTTCAATCACTCTCTCTTTCTAAATTTTGGTGATTTGATAAAACAACAATAATTTTCATTCATGAATGAAATAAATTTAACTAATAATTATAGACTGGTCCACCAGGGTGCTTGGTACCTGTATGGTTGCGCTACAGCATTGAGCTGTACTGTTCGGATTGTAGCCTTGAAGCCTATATAGTGTCTGGTTCTCCGATGGGATTGAGCTGTACTGTTTAGGTTGCCGTGTGAAAGTCTGGATGATGTTTGGTTCTCCTGAAAACCAGTGCAAAATTATTCTGGCTCATAAGGGTATATTATATAACTAACTTATATAACTGTGAATAATTATAGACAGATTTGTAGTTGTGTTCATAGGTGAAAAAGATAGAAATTGGAGTTAAGCAATTAATTGCTTGAAAAAAAAATATAGGATTGAGCAAATTGTATACGTAATATATTTCATTTCATACCATCGACAAGCAAGAAAATATGGAAATCAAAACAAAACTCGATCAATTTACTTGGTGTTGTTTACTTGTATCTTTCTAGTGATGACTGACGATTGATTAGTTTCTTGTTAGAATATGTGCATTCTGAGCGGATCGCCTCGATATTGCATAAAAAGATTGTGACTTAAGGTAATATCAAGGCAGTCTGCACAAGATGTACATATGCCAACAAGAAAGTGATAAATTACAGTCCTAAATAACAATGGGAAGATACAAGTAAACAACACCAAGTTAATTTAAACTTCACCCCATCGCACAAGTAGGTAGCTATCAGAACACGGTAACTAAGTGAATAACGCGATGGTATTTGAAGCAAACGGTACTAAGTTCGAGTCCCAGAGTGAACATCATCTCTCAGATGCAGGTACATACAGCTGACGAGTCCCGATTAGGATGAAACGTGCGTCCTAGATCCCACTGCTGGTCAATATCCATCTTTGCTTATAAAACTCGATCAATTTTAAATACTAAAAATCTACATTAAAGTTATCAGTACTAAACTATTATGGTTCATTGGACAAGATCAACTGAACTGATATTCATAATACCATTTATTTGAACACAATTATATAAATTGTTTACAATCAGTACAGTCATGTTCTACTTTATTAGTTGTGTGATAACTCTCTGGAAGGAATAGTTAATCAAGTTTACCATGTATTCGTAGACAAAAATTATTGTTTTAAGTTATAACGTGTATTATGTCATGTGAAAAATTCATTTTCCCAAGGTGAGTGAAAATAAATTAAGGATATTGGTAAAAGGAATAGAGGTTGTGGAGATAGTTGGATTTTCATAGTTTAAATCATAAACACTAATCTTAGCTAGATCACTAGTTTAAACCAAAAGGCACCGGATATCCACCTTGTCGTAGTATAGCCTCCCTTAACAATGAACATTAACGAACACGCTGAGGATCAAATCCAGGATCTTTTAACTCAAATTGTGAACTCTTAGCTTCTAGACAACCGATGATATGTCGCAATACTTCCTGACCATCTTCTGCTACATAAACTGAATAACTGTCTCATCACAGACATGAAGTTGCGAATATGCACTACTGAGAAGTACCATACTAGGAGGAGACATCTGTTGACTACTTCCTGCGTTTTAGCAATGGTACAGATTATGGATAGTTCAGCCTTACATGGATCAGTGGTTGTATTATTTTATCATTATACAAGACGTTTTGTATCACTCACTCTCTTTTTTTTCTTCTCTGTTAGATTCTTCAAAAAGCCCTTATCACTCATTACAATCAAGTATAAATCAAAAGTCTTATATGAATGAAAATGAGATCAAGGAAGAAACAGAAAAGAAATCAAATCTAAATGAAGAATTCCCAATACCTAATGAATTGAATACCACGATCAGTGACTTTGACGATGTTGCTGATGATGATGATGACGGGGAAGTACTAAACAACATTCATTGTCTTTCATCTGTAACACCATTAAATCTTTCCATAGACAATAAACTTATCAATAGAAATAATCATGATAATTGTACATTTGATCTAATCAAACCTGCTATAAGTTTGTCATTTCCTTTTCAATATTCTAGTTACTATGATAATTGTCATCCAATAACTAATATCAATATGCATAAACCGGAAAGTCATATAGGCGACTATTCAAGCAATACTGTAACAACGGTAACAACAACGAACTGTATTTATACTAATGATGATATTTATTATCCTATTAAAGAGAATGATGTAATAAATAATCGGAAAACTCAACAATTTCCCACTCGACTTCATATCATGAATAATTCAAACAATAATAATAATGATAGTAATAATAATGGGAAGAAATCTAAAGTGAATCAACAAATTGATATGGAATCCAATTCAATAGAATGTATTTGTAATGCTACAACGACTACTACTACTACTACTACTACTATCACTAATTCATCTGTGAAATCTAGACGAACCAAATGTCCGAAATCATTGAAATACACACAACTGTAAGTTATATTATAGTAAAAAGAACTGATCTAGTGTTTAAAGGGGTTATATGAAAGTTTGTTTAAGGTGTAGACTGCATTCTTCATAGATTAATCTCAATTGGAGTATTATAGAAAATCAAAGAAGACTGAACAACCCTGTCGTCTTAGTATGGAACTTCCTAGCAATGTGTACCCAATGTTTCATCAGAGGTTGGACTCAGGACTTTTAGGTTTTACGGAGAGTACTTAATCATTATAAATCCTGGGTCAAAGTCAATGATACAATCTTAACTTTAATCAATTTATAATGTAGAAAGACGATCATTTAATGCCATTAGTGATAACTATTCCACTATAAACGTGTCTAAACTCCACCAATCCCATATTATGGAGAAACAATTATCCAATGCTTTCTGATTTTCAAAGGTACACTAACTGAGATTAGTCTGTGATAAATACAACCTCAAGATATGTTGATGTAATTTCAATAGTTGAGATCATGAGTCAATTGAAGCTAGACCACCATGGAAAACCTGGAAGCACTGAATAACTGTTACGTTCTGTTGTGGAACTCCTCAACAGTGCGCATCCACGATCCCGCCTCGCGAGATTCAAACCCAGAACCTATCAGTCCCACGCGTGAGCGCTTAACCTCTAGGTCACTGAGCCGGAATTCAATAGTGTTAATGTCTAGCTTCAACCAATTCACGAAATTGATCGACACATCCACCATTGTCTTTATTGAGTAGGACGAAACGGCCATCCAGTGCTTCCAGGTTTTCCATGGCGATGTAGCTTCAATTGTTTCATGATCTCAACTATTCAAATTACTATAATATCCACAAAACCCCTTCTAATATGTTGATATACTAATTTCTTAAAAAAAATTCATGTAACCATTCTATAAATTAAAAACATACTAAACCAAAGCTAATCACAAGTCTATAACTGTTTTGGGGGTGTATTAGTTTCTATGTATGATATAAATGGATTAATAAATGAATAGAGTTCAATTAAAATATCTATTTCTAAGGGAAATAATTGTAACCAAGTGATATACAATAAAGATAATTATTAATCATTCAATAAAGAATGATACAAAACTTGTTCCAAGTTTGTAGACTTTGATACATTGTCAAAAAATATGACATATTTAGTAAGTTACGTATATTGTAAGACTTGACGTAGTTGACTAAAATAGATCTACATAACATACTTTACGTTAGAATAACGAAAGACAGAGAGGGAGAAAGAGAGTTAACAAATTTTGAAGCAAAAGATTCAAACTAATAATAATAACAACAATAAGACCGATGATAATGAAAAATTCGACAAAAAAAATATATTATATACGTAATTATATGGATGATGAGTGGCAGCGGAATCCAAGACGGACGTTTCGTCCTCTTTAGGACTCGTCAGCTGAATGTACCAGCATTCCAGAGTTGATGTTCACTTCGGAACTCGAACCTAGTACCGTTCGCTTCAAATGTTATCACGCTATCCACTTTACTACTGAGTCCTATGCGTATTAGTGGATATTTAAAATAATCTCAGCGATTGAAATGGGAAGAATGGTAACATCTCATTGGACAAAGTGATTCTAAATTCTTCAAGAGAAAAAACTCGTGTAAACACTTGGTTCCCAGTTTTTGTCAAATTGCTTGTTAAAATGTTGACAAATGTTTATATATACATGAATCACTGCTACAAGTTTCTAGCTATTTCACTTATCATCTCTGTTAGAACAATTTGTAAAGAGTATTCAATATATGGTATTAAAGAAGATAGTACCCCTTAAAACGGTTCACTTCAATAGTCGATACTTTTATAAACATATAGTCATATTTCAATATTGTTATATCGATTGAGTGTGTACGTGCCCTGTTTAATACGTGAACATGATGATTACCGCCAATCAGAGAGGAGTGAATTATCGATTGGATCCAATGATACACAAAAGCCGTATGACCAGTCTTGAGTACTTATCGGTCCTGCTATCTGCCTAGCCCAACCAGTTAAGTCCAGAACACCAATAACAGCCTCTGCAATATGAATCATTATTCTCAAACATACCACAATCAAACTGACCACATTGTCCATAAAATAGAAAATAACATTTGTACAAGATCTGGCCAAATGTGGCTGTGAATAGGGAGAACAGTAATTAATAGACTAGGGATAACTCAAGAATGGTAAATCGTTTAATAATAGTATATAGGTCAAAATGAAGCTTATAATATGAGGGACACAAATATGGATACTTTAGTTACTTAACAATTATACATTAGGAAATATACATATCATATTGGTCCATAAATAGTCCTCAGAGTTACCATTCATAATTCTCTTCGAGATATAACAAATATCATCATGTGTAACTACTTTTGTAGTGTAGTCTACTTATATCCATATAAGTAGTACATGGTGTGGGTCAGACATAGAATGTATTTTGGCAGAAGACCGATTAGGAAAAAACTGAAATGAAGCGAAATCGTCTGGAAAATGCATGAGCAATGGAATAAGAGAAGAAACAGTGAAGATTGAAACAATTGGTTGTTAATTTGCAAATTGACTGTTCATTGTTTGCTTATCAGAATTTACTGAGATAGTCTGTTATCTTTGCTTAAATACATTCGATTGTCCCCAATCGTGTTCTGTTCACTACACTTTCAATCTTACTTTCATACCATCTATCACGTTTAATATATTTAAGCTATTTCAGTCAATAAGGGTGCATAGCTTTATCAACTGATTTATCATTTCCACCTAGAAGCCTACACCTAATTTTAACATAATTCACTCAGTGATTTTGATGGAGTTTTGTTCTCTGAGTTGGATGGTTTAGTCGTGGAGCTTTCATCCATCAGCTCAGAGAACAAAACTCCATTAAAATTACCCACCTGAGCTACAAATCTCCACCATCACTCAGTGATTCGTCTATAAACTGAACAACTGAAGATTCATAAAGACAATTTTTAACCTACCAGTGTTTACTTAATGAATATTAACTTATAATCAACAATTAAAAATAGTATTCTTGTTCTTTCATATGCTGATTTGAAACTTTTTTTAATGAGTTTAGTCACTCGTTAACAAGAGTAAACAATAGTTATGTCATCAAAATGTAATACATTACTTTTTCCTTAATCTAATCTACATAGCTAAGTATTAAAAAGCCCACCTAAACTAATTTTATATTCAATAGTCAGTAGTTGCTAAAACAAATTTTAGTTAGACTTAGCACGTTCAATTCCAATTTTGTGATTTCCAAAGAGATACCTGTAGTGAAATGATTGAATCACTTAAATCATATTTAATGGCTCCACTCTGTAACCTCACATAAAGTATTTCGTTTTAAGCGATTAATTAACTCTACTAACTCTCATATTTAAGTCGTGGATTACAGATAGATACATTTATATGTACTTGGTATATGAGTCACATAACAAAGTAGATATACGTAATTGTGACAATGTCCAATATCTATATACATATATATCTGCTACGGAAGGCAGTTTTAAAGTTTGTTAATATGAATGTTTTGAGTCTTGAAATGTTAAGAATGAATCTCTGTCGATAGATCATATGTTGTGATCAACAGATAATTATAATAATTATCAGAAGGGGTTTTGTGGAGATTTAGTAGATAATTATAACTCTATACTGATAGATAACTAACTGTTCATGGGATCACATTAATGATGAACTAGTTCAAATGAAATGATATTCAATGATAATAGAGCAGTATAATGAAGATGATTATATATCAACTAACAGACAAGTGGTTGTACCATAAGAGTTTCTCAGACTACTCATTTTTCAATGAAATTATGACCTGACTATCAAACTAAATTCTTGCTCACCACAAATTCACATAGCATAGGTTATTGTAATTAAATGTAACGGATGAAATGATTTTACTGAAGTTCTATCGCTAAGTTATAACTGGTAGAATTCCAACAAGTTGGCAGCGAAACAGTTCAGTCTCTGTTGAGGTCATGGGTACTCATTACCGATGTGTCCTATACTGAGAAGAAGTAGTTTTTAAATGTTCCCTGGTCTTTTATGATACTCTAAATGAAATCAATCTGCGATGAATATGACCTACAAATAGAATGACTATTCTTTACATATTTACTTAACAATTCATCTTAATTTTTACTTTCTATTAATCTTTTTATTTATTCATAACAGTAATTGTTTAAATCAACCTAGCAATACATCCAGATCAGAGGAATCACATTTGTCTAATACTCAATTTACAATGAAATGGTCAGATGATGGTAAACAACAAAGAACTCAAAAATTAAAAATGTTAGGAAATGATAAACTTGCACAAATTAAATGTCGTTTAGAAACTAAAGAGTTATGGGAGAAATTCAATGAATTAGGCACTGAAATGATCATTACAAAATCTGGCCGGTGAGTCAGAAATTATTACTATTATTGGTATTTGATCATGATTTTTTTTATTGTGAATGTGTGAAACTGTTAAATCTCCTGAATAATGGTTTATTACTGCATTTTAGTTTTATAAACAGAGATGGATGGTGGCTAGTAGTGGGATCCAGGATGCACGTCTCATTCTATTTGTAACTCGTCAGCTGAATGTACCTGCATTCCAGAGCTGATGTTAACTCTGTGAATTGGACTTAGTACCGTTCGCTTTAAACGCCATCGCATTATCCACTTAGCTACTAAGTTCTGATAGCTACTAGCTTATGCAATGGGGTGAAGTTTAGTTCCTTTTGTATTGTCTGTTTCAATCTTCCCGTTGATGTTAAGGACTGGAATTGACTAGTCCCTTACTGAAAAATGTGCATCCTGTGCGGATCGCATCGATACTACTGGCTACCGTCTGTCTCTGCCTATAATGCTTGTTACTTAGAGAGATATCGACTAGATCTTCACAGAATGCACATATGCCAATAAGAGACTGGTCAATTGTGATCCTTGACATCACCGGGAAGATTCAAACAACCAATACAAAAAGGAATTGTACTTATGTTTATTATTGAGTTTGTTTACTTGATCAAGCTACAATGAAAGTATGGGTTATTATCAATCGTATTTTATATCTAGACTGCGTATTCGCCAATACAGATTAGATTTTAATTAATCAAGGTCGACAGATTGTAACCAATACACTTGAATGTCTGTTATATATTTTAAAGTAAATATGGTAAACCGTTTAACATACTTATTTACTCTCAAGTATGTAGCATAAAATTGATGAAATAAGAATAACCTACACATCATTGAATGTTTTCATCATAGATTTACTCCAACTAGGAAACTTCTGGAAAACGGACAGCACTAGATGGTTATTTCCATTGATGTGTTTTGAAATTGTACAACAATGTTCACTGTGAACACTGGTAAATATCTGATTCAAGGTTTTTACGATTCATAACAGGCATGACTTCAATCTTCTAAAGCATTAAGTTTTCATAGTTGAAAGTGTGAGTCAATTGAAGCTAGACCATCATGAAAAACCTGGAATCACTGCTCTGGCGCGAAACTGGTAGGTCCTGGATTCGAATCTCGCGAGGCGGGATCGTGGATACGCACTGCTGAGAAGACCCACAACAGGACGAAACGGCCGTCCAGTGCTTCCAGGTTTTCCATAGTGGTCTAGCTTCAATCGACTCACGCTTTCAACTATGAAATTACTAAATCTCCACAAAAAACCCCTTCTGATATTAATAAGTTTGTTAAGTTTTAGATACAATATGACCGTGATTTAGTATCCTTTGTAGTGCAGTTTCTATTCACAACTCGGTTGAATACTACTGGTCATAACTCGTGACAGTTTGATGAAAATTATTTTCGTATCATTTAATAGACTGTCAATAACCATTGAATTTATGAAAGCGATCTTAGTTGAATGACAGAATTACTTCTGAGTCTAGTTAGATTACAATATATTATTGTTAACTTCTTTAAATTTTGATAATCGTTAATAAACAGATTATATCAACTAACGACTTGAAAATGAAGCTACTGTCATTATGACTATTTATTAACAGGACTATTTTAGAATAAATTTTCCCTAATGGAAATACTTGTACAAAGAACAAATATCATAGTAGAATAACATGGTTCATTTTGTACTGTTTATTTGAATCTTCCCAATAATGTTTAGGAATGCAATTGACCAGTCTCTTATTGACATATGTACATTCTGTGTGGATTTCCTCGATATTGCCTTAAGTCATAAACATCATAGGCAAAGATGGATGGTGACTAACAGTGGAACACAGGGCGCAGAAGCTAAGTGGATAACGCGATAGCGTTTGAATTAAACGGTACTAGGTTCGAGTCACAGAGTGAACATCAACTCTGGGATGTGGCTATATCCAGCTGACAAGTCTCATATGAGACAAAACGCGCGTCATGGATTCTGCTGTTAGCCATCGTCCATCTTTACTTAGAATAACATGAATTCCCTTATTTTACGCATTCACCTCAACTACTTACAACTTAAAACCATGGTATTGATCATTAAAACAAAACAAGTATACATACTTTACATTAGAAGCATCTTTTGAATAAATTGTATTAACATGTGAATATAGAATAATACTATGAATAATAAACCATAATATGGCACTCCTCAGCAGCGCGCATCCACTATGAAAATACTGGAATATCCACAAAACCCCTTCTAATAATAATCATATGCTCACTAGTGACTGACTTCAAGAGATATATGTCCTGGAGTTGTAGTGAGAAGCAGTGACCAGTGAAGTTCAATCCAGGTCTGTTGTGAGATAACAACTCATTGAAGACAATTGGTGAACGGTTGCTCAAACTTCGTGGATTGGTTGAAGTTAGACATTAACACCGTTGGATGCCGACCAGCTCAGTGGTCTATCGGTTAATTGCTCTGGCGCGAGACTGGTAGGTCCTGGGTTCGAATCTCGCAAGGCGAGGTCATAGATGCGAACTGCTGAAGAGTCCTACAATAGGACGAGACGACCGTCCAATGCTTCCAGGTTTTCCATGGTGATCTAGCTTTAATTGACTCGTGCTTTTAACTATGAAAATATTGAAATCTTCACAAAACCCCTTCTGATAATACTTAATTAGAAATATAAATTAATGATTCCATTTTAAAACCTTTATTTGTTCTTTTTTTTTGAAAAAAAATTAATTTACAGACGAATGTTCCCTGTAATTCGTGCATCATTCAGTGGATTAGAATCTGAAGCGAAATATTTAGTATTAATGGATATTATACCAGTTGATTGTAAACGATATCGTTATGCATATCATAGATCAAGTTGGTTAGTAGCTGGTAAAGCAGATCCAGAATTACGTTTAAGACATTATGTACATCCAGATTCACCATTTACTGGTGAACAATTAATGAGACAAACAGTATCATTTGAAAAATTAAAATTAACTAATAATGTATTAGATAGACAAGGTTATGTAAGTTATGAAATCTTTTTTAATTTTGTTATTTATTCTATGAAGATTTCAAATGATCTGGTTTTCTTTAAATAAATGTATCCTAAGGTTGTTGTCAGGCACTGTATCTACAGAATTGTTCCATTCTATTTAACAGAGTGTGAATGACAACATCTTGTTACTCATTACTTACTTACTTACTTACACATGTTACTCCCAATGGATCATAGGCCGCCGACTAGCATTCTCCAACTCACTCTGTCCTGGGCCTTCCTTTCTAGTTCTATCCAATTTTTGTTTATTCTTCTCATGTCTGTCTCCATTTCTCGGAGTAATGTGTTCTTTGGTCTTCCTCTTCTTCTTTGGCCTTCAGGATTCCATATGAGGGCTTGCCTTGCGACACAGTTGGGTGATTTCCTCAATGTGTATCCAATCCACTTCCAGCGCTTTTTCCTGATTTCTTCCTCTACTGGAATCTGGTTTGTTCTCCCCCACATTAGGTTATTGCTGATAGTGTCTGGCCATCTGATCCGAAGTATCTTGCGTAGACAACTGTTAATAAACGCATGTATCTTCTGGATGAAGGGCTTTCGTAGTTCTCCACGTCTCCACCCCATACAGTAGAACTGTCTTGACATTTGTATTGAAAATTCTGATCTTAGTGTTATTGATACTCTATCTAAATCTATCAAAGGATCTAGGTTCATGGGATTTTTGTGGAAGAAAAAAAAACGCCCCTTCGAAAAGCCAATCATGTTTCATCATAATTTTGACCTCTTTGAACATTAACCCGTATTTCTGAATTTGTGATTATTATCTCTTATTGTGTGGAGAATCATAGTTGTAGTATTGTATGTCAGTTTTGCAGTATATCGAGTTCGCATAGATCTAGTTTCATATTCGAAAAATATCTCAATTGTTCATAATTTCGACATTACTCAAGACTATAACAGTTTAGTTCTTTTATTCCATATAATCGATATTTTGGTGACATGCAATTATAACATATAGTTTTAAGAAAACTAAAGTCATTCGAAATGAGCTAGATTATAGGATTTTGGTATTTTTAAGATGGTGATTTGAAGTAATCGACAGGAAATCCCACTCGACCTAAGTTTCCGGCTATTTACCACCTTTCAGTAAAGTGTACCTGAAATCTTGAGGGTACAGACGGTGTTACTGAGCTATAAGGGCAGCAAATATTCTCCTGTAAGATTTAGGTGTATTTACAACTGATTGATCACCGAGTAGTGACCAATGTCATATATATCAAAGTTCTTTTTAGTTCTAATCAAATTTTATCCATCAAGTATGATATGCTTAAATGACAGCAATGATTTTGATAAATTGACACTAGGAGAAAAATAATAGTAGAATTTTTTTACGGAGTACATTTGTGACCGTCAAGAAGAAGATAAAATGTACTTGAATAAATCATATCAGTCAGTCAAATGAAATGTATCAGTTTAAACAATAACGAATACAATAGATATAAAGTATGAAGTACGCAGTATTGAAAGATGTTAAAACAGTTAGTACTAAGACTTCAAATCTTCTTGATATTTCGTATCTGTTTAGTTATAGTGTTTTTAAAAATCAGTAATTTTTAGATATAATATACAAACTACTTCCAATGATAACTACAAGTAGTGTTGCATAATCTAGAAAAGTAAACAAAAATAATCAAAAACTAGAGTTGCTGGAAGTAATAAGAATTAATAATCTATAGAATAAAAGCAAATGATAATTATATACTTTGACAAAGGAGAAGAAAAATGTGGAATTCGAAGAGGTGATAAGACTATGGGAGAATAGGGGATTGAACATGACTATTTTGTATAAAGGGATCGAGTTTAAAACAATGAATTGCTATAACCCCAGCTGAGCACAAATTCATTATCCATACCTCTTTTAAGCCAATTTTTTTTTTACATTGTAGAAGATATTGAACTACGATTCAGATGTGACTTTAGTTGAGTTGTAGATAGATTTGCATTCCTTTTTTTAGATAATCATGTAGGACAGTGTTCACTTATCTACTGAGTTCTGATAGCCATTTTCTTGTGAAATGGAGTGAAGTTTAAATTCATTTGGTGTTGTTTGATTGTATCTTCCCATTGTTATTTAGGACTGTAGTTGATCAGTCTCTTACTGGCACATGTACATCCTGTACGGATTGTTTAGATATTACCTTAAGTCACAGTCTTTTTATGCAATATCGAGGCAATCTGCCCAGAATGCATAAATACTAACAGGAAAGTGACCAATTGCAAATCTTAAACATCATTGGAAAGATACAAGCAAACAACACCAAATTTATTTATTTATTTAATCACACAAATATTGGTACAAAGGAGCACCAGATATATATGCGCCACACAAATGTCATTTGATTTATGTGAGGGCTGTGATACTGCCCACATGCCCAAACTGAAGCAGGTGGTTTTCTTAGGGAGCCACACAAGGAGCCTTTGATCTAAAGATCTGATCCACAAAGGAGTGGAACATCGTAAGGAGATGCAGTTCAATGGTAGCCGGTGACCAACGATTGATTCATACACCACTTGTTCCCTCACGATACTGGAGCCAGCCCATGTGCACAATTCGTTTGGAATCAAGGTTTTCCAACTCCCCTAGATGGACTTTCCGTATCCAACAACCCGGTTAAAGCACCGGATATTCGCTTTTCATCCTCTCAATTTCGTAAACAACAGTAGTGCCATAAGAAGGCAGTGAGTAGAAATTCCCTGGCATAGACTATATAGGCATGGTCATGTGAGAGCATTTCAAGAGAGAGGGTGAACTTTTCCCTTTCTCGACCATAAAAGGGTATTTGGGGTACAACTATCTTATTAACTTTCTTCTTATAAACATAAATATTCTTTTTAAAATATTCATCAATAAGATAACTTTTTTTCTTTTTTTCTTCTTTATATTATTCTTTTAATATTTATTTCTTCTTTATAGATTATATTAAATTCAATGCATAAATATCAACCAAGAGTACATTTAATTCAGTTAGCAACTAATTATAATGATAATAATAATAATCAATTTATTATGAATTCATTATTAACATCAACATCATTACCTAAATCATTAGATATATTACCAAATGATAATATTAAAACATTTACATTTCCTGAAACTATTTTCATTGCTGTTACTGCTTATCAAAATCAATTAGTAAGTTATAATAATAATAATAATAATATTTTTTTGGGTTTTAAACTTAAATTTATCCTAATACATTATTAATATCAGAAGGAGTTCTTTTGTGGATGCGCACCGCTAAGGAGTCCCACAATAGGACGACGAAATGGTCATCCAGTGCTTCCAGGTTTTTCATAGTAGTCTAGCTTCAATTGATTCATGATCTCAACTATGAAAATTATTATCATTATTATTATTATTATTTAAATATATAAATATATTGGTACATGGTGAAACTGAATATATATTCACCATACTTCATCATTCAATTTGTATGAAGACTGGGATATTACTAAGGGTACCTATACAAAAGTAACTATTTTAATATAGGGATCATTAAATTACAAATTACAAATTTTATGTTTAACTTAGTATTGTTTGTTTAAATCTTCTCATTGATGTGTTAGGACTGTAATTGGTCAGTCTTTTATTGACCATATATGCATACTGTGCGTATTGTCTCGATATAGCCTTAATTTTCATAAGCATCATAAGCAAAGATGAATGTTAGAAAGATATTAAAATAACTTCTTGGTTTATAACTATAACTTAACTAACATCAATCAATAATGAATATCATATAAAAATTATACTAATTATAAGAAAACTTTAATAAAAGAACGACTAATATACGCTTAATACTTTGACTGAACCATGACTGAATCAATCAGAATCAAAATAACAAATTATTTTAAGAAATTTTAAATACTAACAAGTATTTATTTCATGAATAGCTATAAGAAAACAATATTTTTATATCATCACATAAAATGTATTATAGAAATACTTTTGTATAGTTTTATAAGCACAGATGGATGGTGGCTATCAGTGGAATCCAGGAGGCGAGTTTCATCTTATTCGGGACTCATCAGTTAGACATCTACTCCGGGACTCGAACCCAGTACCATTCACTTCAAATAAGTAAACAATACCAAATGAAATTACCAGTGTTTAGTGTTTAAAACATTATAAATCTTATAAAGAAATTATTTTAGTTATCATTTAACATAAAATGATAGTGTGAAAAATATCGAATTGCCACATTTGATATATGGGTTTTACATAACAGTTGAACAAGTCAGTTCTTGTTTTAGTTTACCTTTTTTATGAGAAACTCACAAAAAATTATTTTTTATTCAGTAAAAGTTTGTGGGGACTTTTTGATCTCACCGAAATCATGAATCGATCTAAGTTAGACTATTATTGAAAAAATGGAAGCGATGATCAGCAATTTTGTCCCTGTACGAGACTCCTCAACAGTGCATATCTACAACCCGACACTTTCGATCGTGTGTGAACGCTTGACTTCCAAACTACTGAGTCGGGATTTGACAATATCAGTGTTTAACTTCAATCAATTCTCAACATTGAGTGACTATATTCGATTGCCTTCAGTGGGAAAGTGCTTCACACCCGGTACAGTTTAGCTCCACTAGTTACAGCTTCTCACTAGAACTCTGAAACGGCTATCTAGTGCATCCAGGTTTTTACTGGTTGTCTGACTTAGATCGGTCTGTGATTTCAGTGAAATTACTTTGCGAGTTGTTTAGCGAATATAATAAGTGACAAAATGAAGTAAGAATGTTAAAACAATTCACTATTTATCCACCTATCAGTATTAGGAATATAAATATAGCAACGATAGTGGTTCTGATGTAACCTCATCTCTATAACTCTCCGAGGAACAAATTATAAAGAACTTTTCAGATTATGATGAATTTTATTCAAAACTATTCATGGTTATTAAAAAGTTTCAGGAAGAAACTCTTAGTATGTGAATAAATTTGCGCATAGATTGATGAAGATACATCGAGATAGATGTACAAAATTAAGATAAGAAAATTGGTAATGAACCTTGAAGAACAAATGTACTTCCTAAAACAGATCTTAATCGAATTCGTTAGTTCTATTGAGGATTACTTTTGAGTCATAAAGACTCTTTGTTGATTGGCTGTAAAGTGGCTTCAACATCACACTATCATTCTGAGAATCGTTTATTCTTACCCCTATGCTATACTTTTATCATCAAACCGCGTCATTATTAATAGAGGAATTATATGTAGGATATATATGGTACAAATCGCATCAAAAACCTCAGGATATTCATATGAATAGTCTCCATGTGATTATCTCATCCATAAAACGATTTATAACCTTTTAAATGAAATCGGATACAAACTGATCTTGTATGAATGATCTTCTGTATGGAAAAATAACTGATTTTAGTGTGGAAAACTTAGTCTTGAAAACTCACTAGATGCATAATCTAAACTCCGTTTCTTGATAAAAATGATTGATTTACTCATTGGCTTATAAGTAGTATGCAAATTCAAGATCATTTCAAACGATGCCTAAAGAGTGAATTATGGTGTAACATGATTTACCTTCTTGATGAACATCAACCATAAATGTTATTTACAAACTTTTGAAAAGTCCAGTTAATTAGTGTCTTTTTTTCTCTTCTAATCTTTTAAGATAACGAAACTGAAAATTGACTGTAATCCATTTGCTAAAGGATTTCGTGATTCTTCACGTCTTACAGAATTTGAAAGGTTAGTTATTGTATATATGTATGGTTATGTTCATATTTATTTTTCAGAGTGTAATAACGTTGATATACTCTTAGCACTTCTATTAATTCATCACCAATATCGACAATTATATACATATTTTATATAGTTGAGATCATCAGTCAATTGAAGATAGACTAATGGAGGTGGGATTCAAACCCATGCCCTTTCGGACTGGTGCCTTAAACCAGCGCCTTAGACCGCTCGGCCACTCCACCTACATTGCATACTAAAAAAAGTCTACTATCATCAATTATAATACGAATTCATTTTTAATTCATGGGTTCTTATCAGCTGCTTACATCCTTATTCCAATTAAAAGGTTACATATCAATAAATGGTGAAAACAGTGATTGGAAACTTATAGTGATATGTATTATCAGCAGTACACATGGTCAGTTGAAGATAGATATGGAAAATATAAAGCAGGCGAATTAGTAATTATCTAAAATTAGAAAATTAACATGATGGGTTGGTTAATTATAATAGATTAACAAAGATATTGAGAATCGGATAAGAAAAAATCACCCAGTGTATTAGTTATGATAACTACTGAAAACTTACGACAATTGTTCCATGTTAGGGTGGGTATTTCTAAAAGTAACATCAATTCGTAACTGCCATCATTGACTGATTTTATACATTTATTGAAAATCGAGAAATAACCGATAGCTATTTCATCCTAGTAGGGACCTCATCAATAGCCTGCAGTTCTGATAATACCAGAGATTGAACTCAGGAACTTTACGTCTTAAGGCGAAAATCAGTTAGTGATAATATTACCCTACAACATACATGATTGCTTTACAAAAGGATAATAAATGTAAGATTTGCTATCAATAATCATTTCTTGCAAAAGTAAAAAGTTAAATTGTTATATAAGCTTAAGTAAATAATAATAAATGAAAGGATGAAAGTGAAATCTTAATAGTATACATCAAAATCATCTATATAATTGATGATGAACTTGTCTTGAACAGCATAATAAACCATATTTGTTCTGAAAATGTAACATTTTATCTCATTAGCGTGAAATCCAGGACGATCGTTTTGTCCTATTTGGAACTCGTCATCAAGATGTACCTGCGTCTTAGACTTGATGTTCACTTTGGGTCTCGAACCCAGTACTTCTTTTCGCTTCAAACGCCACCGTGTTATCCACTCAGCTATTGAGTCCTGATAACCACCTATTTGTACATCTTTGCTTATAATGCTTGTGAATTAAGGCTATATCGAGGCAATACGTACAGTATGCACATATGCCAATTAGAGACTGACCAGTTGTAGTCCTAAACATCAATGGCAAAATTCAACCAAACAATACTAAGTGAATGTTATCTCGTTTCCTATTACTTATTTTCGACATATAAAGAATTTTCTATATCAAAAAGATAGGAAATCCATTCATTTACTTTAGTGTTTATAACATTCAAAGTATGTAAATTATCATACTAATTTATCTATCTATCCATTTACCTATCTAATCTATCTATCTATCTATCTATCTATCTATCTATCTATCTACCTATCCATCTACCTATTTATCTATCTACCTACCTATCTATCCATCTATCTACCTATCTTCTTATTCTCTAATATAAAATCATAATCAGATCACGTATTTATAGTTGTATTATTTTAAAAAATTGCAAATTTACATTGTTTCTATTTTTGTACGTGTATATAAGTGAAATTATGATTTCATATGTGCATATTCTAATGTTTGATGTTATTCTCAACTATCAAGTTAAACATGCCTCAGTTTTAGATTTGTGTTACTAACTGATTTAATTCTATTTTATCATTTAACTAGTTCCAATGTTTAATACACGTGGCATAACATTAAAATGTGTTAATTAGTTATTGACAATTATGAGATATAAAAGGTTTGTTTATTTGTAGCCTTTTTTCTAGGTTTATTAACACATGGTAAATAGGTGTTGTAGTTGTCTCTTGTTGTTTGTTTGTGTGTGTGTGTGTAGAATGTTGCTAGCGGTAAATTAAAAATTGCTGATTTATACTTAACTGATTGAAATCAGATATATAGTTGGCAACCAGTTAATACCATAACGTCATGCATGCATTGTTGAGTAGTTACTTGAGTAAATCGTCACATTGCAACTCGGATGATAGCATAAGATCAATACTAAATATTAGGTAAACATGACGTTCATTACTACCTAGTGACCAATCAATGTAAATATTTCAATCATCCAGAAATCTGTGCGCAAATCGAATAGGTCATTGGTAGCGTCTCAGATTGCAAAAAAAAAGAATGGCATGGGTTTCAATCCAACAGGAAGCGTCAGTTCCCTAAAGGCTCCAGCTACACTCTGTTGATAAGTGTCACCTAGTATGCGACTTAGGTTCAAGGTCTTCTGTAGACTAATTCTAACTACTTTACGTCAGAATATAATGTATAGGATATCGAGTCACTTCAGATTAGAAACAAGGTTACGATTGAATCGACAGAATTTGGTCATCACTGAAGATCAGGCAAACATGAAATTAATTACGTCTCAGTGATTAACCATTAAATAATCTGAAACTACTTGTTCTTATGAATACTCCGTCTATTTTTTATTTGGTTTCATGACATAAAAGTAATACGATAGGAATGTTTACTTGAATAGTCATATGTACGATTCCCACCTACAGTGAAATGAGCGTTTAAACAACACAAACTTTAGTATTTGAAACCTACAGTGGTTTGGGATTTTCTAGGAGATGTCTAGCTGAAATCTAGTGTTCTTATATTAGAATTAACAAGTATTATAAGCACAATACCCTAAAAGCAATGCCGTTGTTAAAAGTAAATTCACTTTCAAGAAAATCTTAAGATGAGGAGGATGGTTTTGCTTTTATTGAGTTCTTTTACCTAAATGATTTAATCTCAGAGTTTTGGTTATTGTTCTAGACATATATATAAAGTAAACGCTACTGATGTTATCCAGAAAGATCACTAAACTTCTGGAACTAAACTATCTAGCTCAAAGAACTCAATAGCATTTAAAAAATGTGTATTGTTATAGTCAGATGAACATTTTATATGTTCTACTTGCTTCTTTTATTACTTATCACTTGTCAGTTTACTCCTTTTGTCTCAATTACTTTTGGTGGACAAAATATATCTGATGGTTTCTGTTATCATTGATCTAAATTATGGAATAGAAAGTCTACATTGATCAGTGAGTGCTAACAAATGTCATATTTGTTTTGTCCTTAGTGATAATTGAGTTTTATTGATCAAGTTACACTATGGTCATAGTTTAAGTGACCAGATATCGTACGCATTATATTTTGATATTTGATGATTAACAATAAACTTCGAATCTAAGTTTCGTGCATTCTGCCACTTCTCAAGAATGTGTACTTGTAACATTTAAAGAAATGATGCTTTCTGTGGAATTCAAACTTGTGTCACAGTAACTTAGCCATTCAGTTATAAGCTAATGATAATATTTTAGTCCTATAAAACATCATTCATGGTTTATCTTTATAACATTAAAATCAAAAGTCTACCATCCTTTTTTGTAAAAGTGATTCTGTTCTATTTTCATCCATGGTATAAATTAATCTCCCAATGTTGTTCAGTTAAGTGTATTGTTAAATTGTTACATCAGTCCTGTTAATACTTTTTTTCTGAGAATGTTTCAAAATTCTTTGTAATACATTGTGTACATACATTTTCGCTGTATTAACAAGTGACTTATTATGATGTAATAATGTGATAACAACATTAGGTAGACTCTATGAATGATTCGTAACATAGATGAAATTATTTTCGTATCTGCAAAAAATACTTCATCATTATTACCTTTCTTATTGAACTGAATTCATTCAACATTTTTTGGCATTGTATTTTCCCTCAGAGCATCTATGATTCTATGTTCTCATTTAGTCCATACACAGTCAATCAGTAAGCTACAACGTAGGACCAGGAACTTATATGCATCGGTTCAAGTTGCCATACCTTGTTACCACAACAAGATGAACACCGGATTCATAGAAATAGTTAATTTAGTGATGGTAGTATATAAAAGATAGGTTGTATATAAGGATATAGTATAGGAAGGAAGAAAGTTATGAAGCAATTTTAATCTCAAGGTTTAAGGGAGGATGAAGAGTGTATACACCTACGCCATTGTGATCGATTCTGAGCCATATCACCAAGAGTCTCCAACCATTGGTTACGATAGTCACGCGGACCCCAACCAAGTATTCTGCATATGCCAACATGGATCAAACTAGAAGTTAGTGACTCCAAGCACTGGCTCCATACACACACACACACAAGAATATTACAGCTTTTTGTATAACAATAATAAGAATCAGAAGGGGTCTTTGTGGATATTTCAGTATTTTCATAGTTGAAATCATGAGTCAATTGAAGATAGACTACCATGGGAAACCTGATGACACTGGACGGTTGTTTCGTCCTATCGTGGGACTCCTCAGGAGCACACATCCACGATCTTGCCTCGCAAGACTCAAACCCAGGACCTATCAGTCTCGCGTCCGAACGCTTAACCACTAGACCAACGGTGCTAATATCTAACTTCAACCAATCCACGAAGTTGAGCAACTATTCACCAATTGTCTTCAGTGAGTTCCTATCTCACAAAAGATCTGGTTGAACTCCACTGGTTACTGTTTCTCACTATAACTCCAAGAAATCTCTCTTGAAGTCAGTCACTAGTAAGCATATGATTATAATCAGAAGGTTTTACCTTAGTGATCTAGCTTCAATTAACTTATACTTTCAACTATGAAAATAATAAGAATACCATAATTAAAATTCCATGGATGCAATTCCAGTCAAATAGTATACTTTACAATATAAACATTTTTTATACATTCATACACAAGTAGAGAATATTTCATTGTTAATCCATATTTTCCTCCATGTCACGCCAAAATAAAATGCAAACAATCACAATACTAATGACAGTAAATACAAACATAACTGATTTGTTTATCAC